TGGAATGAAAGTTGCAAACTGCGTTATGTGTGAAACGATTGATTGATTTGTGGGGTTTAACGTCCCAAAACCACTATACGATTATGAGAGACGCCGTAGTGGAGAGCTCCGGAAATTTCGACCACCTAGGGTTCTTTAACGTGCACCCAAATCTGAGTACATGGGCCTACAACATTTACGCCTCCATCGGAAATACAGCCGCCACGGCCGGGATTATGTGCGAGACGACCTTGATCCGCTGCACTCTCTAGCTACTACAGGTTGACGCCTGTTGAACCTGCGGTAAACTGGGGCATCGCTCGGACGTTTGTCCCACTCCTACCGTCATCACCTGCTGGAACTGTGGGGTCTGATCACCTCCTCAAATCCACACCTGCCAGCCAACGTGCTCCATCTGTGGAGGAGCGCATCCGACGGTGGATCGGGCCTGCAAAAGCAGGTACCAGGTCCCTTACATTTTCGTCGTAGAAGGCGACAATGCAGAAGAGCAAACAAGCAGCGTGGGGAGTTCGTGTCACAGCAAGCAGCCGGGTCTCGGTTCAACCAGGGGGGTGAACGTAGTACCCCTGGGCGGGGTACAAGTCACCACTCTCGCTCGAGAAATTGGTCGGCCTCCTGTGTGCGGATTCAGCAAGGACCTACCTGGGCTGATCGAGTGGGTCATCGACGTGAGTCTCGCATTATCGTGCAGCGCCTGCTGCCAGAGCAAGATACCGCTAGGATACAGCAGCTAGAGCGTGAGAATGCAACTCAGAGGAGTGAGCTTCAGGAGATCAAAGCTCTAGTTGAGGAGCTCAGACAACGTGAACGCATGGCGGACATCACAGTGAACGCTCAGCAGGCAGACGCGCAACCTGGAGGCGGTAAGCGAAAGGCCGCTGACTCTCGTGTAGATTTCGAGAAGGACTTCAGCGACTTCAAACAAGAAATTACAGGAGTGGTCCGTGAAATTAAGGACGCCATGGCTGGTGTGAGCTCCGTACTCTAGACCCTCTCTGCATGGGTGGCGCTGGTGAAACAAAACTTAGGTAGCAATCATAGCACAGGAAATTAAGGAATTAATAATTTGAGAATGGAATTGCGTGAGCTACGTCAGGGAAAAGGCAGTCTTACAGCAGTTCATTAGCTCGCAGGTGAATAAGCCAACCGTAACACTCCTCCAGGAGACCCTTAAAGCAGAAGTGACCCTCCAGGGTTATCACTCTGCGGCGTGCTTGGGGGAAGAAAAACGAGGGGTCGCCACTCTTGTTTTCAAAGAGTTCTCTTTTGAGGTTCGCGAGGTACGTCCGAATTTAAAGGTAGAACACATATTTATTGACTTAATTCCAAGCTGTCAACTTAAGGAGCACCTCTTCATACTGAACGTTTATAGCTTGTCATCACACACTCGGGAAACTTTCAATGCGCTTCTGTGGAAAGCCTCCGAAATCGCCGGGTCGCCACCATTTACAGCAGCTGGCGACTTCGATGCGCACCGTCAGAAATAGGGCTATATCTGTAACACGGCTAAGGGGAGGGCGTTTCTGCAGCAAACTGATAATTCTAACCTGGTTACTGATCACAACCTTCCCCCACGTCTGGGCAATTATGTAGTGAGGGACACCACGCCGGACCTGGCTTTTGTCAAAAACGTCGAGCGCCCCCTGTGGTAGAACTTGCATGAGAACTTGGGGAATGGCCATTTAATTGTGTCGGTCTCTCTCGAGATTAAGGCACTGCCACCACGGGTTTTCAAAAGTGTTAATTGGGACGCCTTTCGGGAAATTCGAAAGCGGGATGAAAATAACTATGATGACCTTGGCCAGCTATTCGAGCAGCTTAAGGCAGATCTTAAAACTGTCACTAAGGTGGTGCAGACGGATATTAAAACAGATCGCATAGACAGTCGCCTAGCTAGGCTTCTTGAAGTCAAGAACTCTATACTTAACAGATGGTGTACGCAGCGACTGAACAGGTGACTCAGAAGGAAGATTTCTCTACTGAGTAAGAAGATTGAATTGTACAGTCATACCCTAGCCAAATAACAATAAGATGAGGTCTGTAATGTTGTCGACGGGCAGATGCGATCAAGGGCCAAGTGGAACATTCTCAAGCATCTCCAAGGAGATAGACAGCTAAAGCTAATCAGAGACATACTGTTGACCATCTCATTCTGAAGGAAACGTCTGCTGGGCTCTCTGATGATCACATCTTGCAACAGCTGGCAAATAGGTACCTCCCCCTGGGGACTTCCACGGGGCCAGACTGCCCAGATTTCTCCTGTCTGCAGAAGGCGGAGCTGGACCCCCCTTTAGCGTAGAGTAGGTCAGGGTGGTCCCTTATGGTCTTAACGGGAAATCGGCTCCCGGGCCAGATGGCATTACTTACAGGTTACTTAAAAATCTGAACGATAGATCGATTGAGGTACTAACTGATGAGGTCAACCGGGTTTGGGAGTCGGGGCAGGGGCCGCAGGAGTGGTGAACGGCCTCTGTCGTCCTCATTCCTAAGCCTGGTAAACATCTCGGGCTCGACACGCTGCGACCATTCTCGCTCATGTCTTGCATGGGTAAGGTCATGGAGCATGCTATTCTTAACTGAATCTCCCGCTACATTGAGCACAACGAGCTCTTTCCTCTCAACCTCATTGGCTTTTGTCCAGCGCTCTCTACGCAGGATGTTATGAAAATGATTAAATATCAAATCTTCGATACAGACACCAGAGGTGTTCGTGGAATTCTGGCACTCGATCTCGAGAAAGCTTTCCATAATATTTCACATGCTCACATACCTAATTCGATCTGAGAATCGGGCTTGGGGTCCCGCTTTTATGGGTTCGCCCGCTTTTTCTGAGGGATCGCGTTCCCACAATTCAACTTGGGACCTATGCTTCAAAGAATTTCACCTTGGAGCTCAGGGAACTTCTCAGGAATCGGTAATTTTACCACTAATTTTAACATAGCGACGAGGAAAGTTTTGCTAGAGCTAACTCGTATCGACCACATCGGACATGCGCTTTATGCAGATGATATTACTATATGATGTACTGAGGGTAGAGATGGAGACGTTGAGGGTTCCCTCCAGCAGGCCCTCAGGTGCACCGAAGAGTCTCTTGATTGCACGGGGCTGCACTTCTCTATGGCCGAATCAAAGCTTCTTCTCTACACACAGCCAGAAAAACGCAAATTCACTACCATTCTAGTTCCACCGGAAGAGATAAAGATCGAAATTCACACACGAAAGGGACGTGCGATCTCCCTAGTCGACAAAATTTGAATTTTAGGTATGTTCCTGGAAGACCATGGCAGTAACTCTCATACTTTTACCCGCACTACGGCGAAGGCGGAAAGCATGATCAAACTTATACTGTGGGTATCTAACAGGCATGGAGGGCTTTGTGAGGCCAATCTCACGAGGCTTTTTCATGTCTTTCTCATGAGTCACATTAAAACATTGCCGCAGTGCACATATGGGAAAGGAAAGAGCAAAGAAAATTAGATGCAATTATTACCAAATGCGGTAAGAAAGTCTTAGGCCTTCCAAACAACCCTAATGAGGAAAAGCTCAAGGTCCTTGGTATGCATAATACATTTAACGAGATTGCAGAAGCGCAACAAGCAGTTCAGGTAGCAAGACTGTCCTCTTCCAAAGCTGGCAGGCACAACCTGAAGTTTCTGGGCTGCGAGCCCTCTTTGGTCGCACACAAAAAAATACAACTTCCTGCTGAATTGAGGGAGCAGATTAAGGTATTACAAATTCTAAGAAACATTCACCCACTCTACAATGTAGGTCACCGGGTTGCTAGGGTTCGGTCGCTCCTCAGTTCCGCTGCTACAACTCCTGAACTTGTGGCGCTCGTTGACGCAGCATAGTATCCTGGAACAGCCAATTTCGTGGTTGTGGTCACTGAGCTTGATAGTAAACTTCTCACGGCAGCATCTCTTCGAGATACCACGCCATCCAGGACACAGCAGGCTGCTATAGCACTGGCTGTGGCTATTCCCACGCACACGTGCATTTTCGCTGACTCTCGGGCTGCTACTGTACGAGCATTCATGACGGGGTCCGTTTATGAGCAGGTGGCCCATATTCTTACCAAACCTTCAAATAGCACTGCAATAGATGGTCACACACCTTGTTCCCTGCCCACATGTCCACCCTGTTGCCCCCTAATGCAAATGAGTCTGCCCATGCCCGCACACACGCACTGTCCCACCGTGACTGGCATTCGGCCTCTAATTTGGGGGAAGGCCTCCAGCAGCTTGATTCTCTCCTCACCTAGATTCAACAAATTATGCAAGAAATATCAATGGTCCCGACGTAGGTTCCCGCTTCCGCACCCACAACTATCGAGGGCCCCGTCAATCACTTTACAAATGCTGCAAACCAGTACTTACCTGTCACCTTTAGTTTACAGTAATTTTATTGACAGCATAAAGCCCCTTTGCATTCATTGCTAAGAGAGACAATGTACGTTATTCCACATGCTCTGGCAATGCACAGCGCTGCGCAATGGCGAGCCCCTTACCACAGAGGACGCCTGGAAAACTGCAGTCACCAGTTTGAACTGGGAGGTCCAAGTCCTGGCTGTCCAGAGGGCCCACAGTTTGGGGAAGGGGCATGCCCATACTGTTGACACGTGGGTGCGCCCGCAGCCGACCCGCCCTTTTAAAGGGCATCAGCTCCTCGGGACAATTTGTGTATAAAGTTCATTGACTCACTAATTTTCTAGATTCTGAGGTTTTCTGAGATATACGCTGACATGAGAAACAAGAAATACATTTTAATACTTTGATGCAAATGACTTCTGCGAAGTCCCACGAAACTGATTTTTATTAGCTGAAAGCTTTTATGTTCACTTATGAACGTGCACGTGATGAGTGACGTTTTTTGTGTTATTGTCTATTTTGGTAACTAACGATGCTTATCTCGCTCGCCCTTAGTAAGTCAAGTAGAACTGCCTAAACTTGAGCATTCATGTCCGTTTCTTCAACACACTAATTTTTTTTTTACTTTTTTAGACATGACTGCTACAGCGAAGTATTGGACACTACGCCAATGTCATTTAAAGACAAGTGCACCAATGAGGTAAGGCATCACAATCACTCATCAGTTGATGCTTATGCTTACTCTATAGTCACTCTGCTACTAACTTCGCGACATAGAAATGAATATGAAAGTAAAACAAAGTAAAACTCTATTGAATTTTTCACACGTTTACTACAGTAAGATCGCAAATTGTCGCTAATGCAAAAGCAAAATATACAGCGAAGCAAAAAAAACAGTCTGTCCTAGGGATCTAATAACTGTAGTGTACCGGCATACAGCAGCGATAGAAGATGTAGATTCTGTAAGTGTCCTCGTAATTGTGCTATTGCAAAAAAACAGCTTTTCAAACAGCGAGGACATTGTAAGACTGCGCAAATTATATTATAGTGTAGTTGTAGTTACTTCTGAAAAATGCACAATACAATAAAATGTCCACGTAGCACGTCGATTTGTCGATGGCGTTGTTTGCATTAGCGCTGACTAGGGGTTGCAACATAGGTGGAACATTCGGGTACTTCCTTGTCTTCTGACCATAAGAGGCAGATTTATAACTCGCGGTTTTCCTGTCAACATGTATCTTGTTGTCCACAAACATAAGTGCCTTATGAAGTCAAATAAATTATACGCTCGCAAAGAACAGACAATGTCTTTTCACAATAGCATTACTACCTGTAACTCTGAAAAAAATAATGCACCTCATCTTTTGCACTGGCCATGGCAGCGACCCTCACGCCCACGAAGGTTTGGCGTTGTAACAACTTCGTGCTCTGAAGTGGAGTTGCATTTTACACCACGAAAACACCGCTTTCAGAGTGTTACAGTAAAACTTAAAGCATGTGAGAATCATGTGAGAATCGTGTGAGAAGCACCTGGTCATGCTGAAGACTCACAGGTCACGGGTGTCACTTTCAAGTGGCTATCACGTTTGGAACCACTTGCACTCATGGTGTCCCTGATACACATCATCTTTATCCATGATTGCATATCAGCGGAATGACAGATTTGACAACGCACCACCGTCTTCGTTTTTAGCAACTCAATAAATACAGATACCTAACGAAGACGCTCTCAAGCTCGCTCAAAAGCTTTGACGTGAACCCACTGCAACTGAGTGACACCGTCCTTGTTCACTGGGACATAAAAAGGTGAAATGACTCCAAAAAACCTCAATCTAGAAACATCAGAAAACAAAAATACTGCATGGGATAAACTTTCATGATAACAATGACATTGATCTTGAGCATGATCGCCATGTCTTTTGTTTTTATGTTTTCGTTGATGCTACGCACTACATAAACGTTAGCGATCGCTGACTACATGCAGAGGCGTAGTAAAAAGAGTGCCTGCTTTGGCTTCATATTCTTAATTGTGCTGCCGCAGAATGTTCTCGCCAGGTATGATTACGTTATTGCGAACACAACAGATGTCAGGGTGTTTTTGAGTGAATTCTGTATAAAACAGCACCAGGCACAAATTTGGGCCGGTAACGCCTCGCCGTCGTCACTGCACATTTCATGATTTTGTTTCGTCATGTAATACCCATCATTCCGTCTTTTTTGACAGGTATTATGTGGAGAATGACGAAGGATAGCTTAGTAAATGCCGTCCTACTACACAAAAATTATAATTATTTATGGCGTAGTGGGTGCCCAGAAAGTGTGCTTGTTGCAGTTACCCATGTAGTGTTCAGGAAAAACTCAAAATGGTCTACAAGGCCCTTCTTTCAGCTTTTGATGTGACTGTGGTGGACGTTCTGCGCAGTCCTGATGTTTTGTTGTACTGACCACAATTTTCATCGATCGCAGAGCGCAATCATCTTTGAAGGGGGAGAAAGAAAGGGGGGCTGCTGATTATCTTGAACGGATGACCACACAAGCATCCAGCCTGTTCTTATTACCTGATGTCCACCACTATTCACTAGCCATTTGGTGTGACCCAACTATTGCACAGCCCCTACACTGGTTTCGCCGACAGATGAAAACCGGGGTTGCGTACGCTCGCTCTAAACGTGGGTGCGAGGGTAACAATATTCTGGTATATATGGACTGTCACTAATTGCGCAAACATGCCTCGTTGAACTAACTGCGATTCCAACGTCGTATGAAATTTGTTACGCTTGCGAATTACAGCGCACCAGAACGCCCCTTTCAAACTCCTTTGTTGTAAACGTTGTCTACGTTGTAAACATAATTTTCGCGGACGAACTTCCTGCATTTACGAAGATTGAATCTCCTGAAACTCCATTGCACGTCATAAAATGGCCTAAATATAAAGCGCCACACCACCGTCGGCGGCAGCTCCATGGTGCATTTGAGTTTAGTGAAGCATGCGGCCGCCAGCCTCTCTACTCGAAACCAACGAAGTAGTATTAACAGGCGCTTTTGAGAACCAGTTTTACAGCGTTGCCTGGGCATAGAGGAGGGCTTCAGCAAGAATTGGTCGAAGCATTCAATGGTTATTAAAATATGCCGGAAGCATTTGCGCCAATGTGTGAGTGGTGCGAATTAGATGATGACCGGATGATGCCCACAGTGCTAAATTCATACGGCTTGTGGGAATAAAACCGGTCTGCCACTGATGCTCTCTCGTTGATTATTAAAAAAAACCTAAGAACGTTGAACTAAGTGGTGCAAGGCTTTTCTAAGCAAAGATGGCTGATCCTCCAGCAAATTCTGCTTAAAACTTAGAAAGATGTACTTACAACGTACCAATATTTTTTTTTACAACATCGACAAACCCACTTACAACAAGCTCATTTACTTATGAAGACCCAGCAACAACAAATTACAACATATTGGGAACTGGCGTCAGCCGAAACACTCGGTTAGTAGCCAGTTTCGCTGTACCATGTTTTGTGCAAGTTGGTGCGTTTTCCCAGCCACATTTCATATTAGCGCTTCTATTTTCACTCCTTAACTCTTTTGCAACCATGGGCGTGTATAGCTGTCACAAGATTTTTAAACGAAATAACCATTCACTGCTATAATCAACAAGAAACGGTCACAAGTTGCACCAATAATGATTATATTCGTTGTAGTATAGTGTTTTTCGATGCGAGATGGTCCCACTTGTCAACGGCTTTACAACAGATTTTATGGCGGATCCTCTTTCTGTGCCTAGCCTTTCATTGCGTTGCCGTGTGATACCGCGTGCGAGGTATCTTCTTACGCAATTAGTAGAATATAGATATATTATGTTAATGATATAATGGTACCGTTTCATTCAGCAAAAAAAAAGCTCTGCGAAGTAAGCAAGAAAAGTTTGTTATTTTGGCATTTTTTTTATCGGTCGCTGCAGGGTTAGTTGCCTCGTACAATCAACTTCTTTGTATTACATGTCTTTTGCTCTGGTTTTCCTACCATAGGATAACAAACTACCTTTCTGAGACTTGTTAAACTTCCTACGTTTCCCTTCTCTCTTCGCCTCATGCTCGTCTTTATTGGTACTTGCTACAGCACTGTCTATGAGGTGCCGTATGTGCTTTGTTAGATAATTTGTCTCGAAACTATTGCACGAACACACTTCATTAGAGAATAGTAACAACACTGTAACGATGGGTGCACCTGCCTCATTGATTTGCCTTTCAGAGAAGTCACTCAATTACAAGGTAACAAATAGCAAAAATGTGCAGAGACTCAGTGTCTCAACTTGATAAGTGTAAAGAGGGCTAATTTAGGTTGGTAAAAGAAACGTGCAGGAAAGGTACTCATCTAGGAGAATGATTGTCTTTCTCTTCAGCGACTACTTAGGAGTAAATAAACACTTTGCATACACCACTCTTTACATGTGCTAAGGGCTAAATCCTAAAATGTACTGTATTTTTCTAGACATGCCGCCGTACTGTCGACAATAGTGGGAGAAGACGCACTGAAGGCTGCCCCTCGGGTTGCCTCTGTGTTCTCCAGGGAAGTGATAGTCAAGATAACATGAATGGCACATGTTACCTTTTGACCACGACCACAAAGCCCACCACTACTATCAACGAGTCGTAATCGCAAAGTTTTAGTAGCAACAGAGCAACAACATTCTTGAAATGATAAGTGAAGAAGCAAAGAAAAGCACGCTACTTTTTCCCTCCAAAAATAAACGTATTTTCAAGAATACTGCAGGGCTGTCGTATTATTCCTTTCTAATTAATCTACATGTCCTGATTTGTATTTGGACAACCTTCCACGTAGTTTTGAAATCTATATTAGCAAGAATACACGTCAGCCGAACATATTACTGCAAATGTTCAAGAAATGGACACACCAAGCTTATGCCATTTTTCTAATAGGTTAAAAAAAGACGAAGGTTGATATAGCTGTCTTCCTCCGTTTCTGTATGATATTGGAAGTTATTTTAGAATATAAGTTTTGTACGATTGCTGACTTAAAACCTACATAACTTTTTTCAATCGGCATACCTGTGAAACACGTAAAAGTAAGACATCCATTAACCCTCAAGAGGAAGGTATATAGCAGTTGCATCTTGCTGGTACTTACCTACGGAACAGAAACCTGGAGGCATACAAAGAGTGTTCAGTTTAAATTGATGGTGACGCAGCGAGCCATGATAAGAAAAATGATAGGAAGAAAAATTCAAATCAAGAAGAAGAAATGAAAGTAGGCCGCACACGTAGCAGGTAAGCAGAATCACCGCTGGTCGATAAGGGTAACTGACTGGATTCGCAAAGAAGGCTAACACATGAAGGGGAGACAGAAAATTAGGTAGGCCGATGAGATTGAAAAACTTTGCAGTTATAACATGGCAGCTGAAAGCACAAGACCGGGTTCATTGGAGAGTCCTTTGCCCTGCAGTGGGCGTAGTTAGGTTGATGATGGCGACAATGATGGTATCGTTTTTCTGACTTCACAAAGATTCATCACATAACACCATAAATGATTAATACAGCGAAACACTGGAAGCAGAAGTTCCATTGAATTCATAAATAGTACTGGTTGGAATGCTCGCGAGTCACTGAGTATGTTGCATTTAGATACCACTACTTTTTACTATATTGGAATGCATCTGGACAAGTATTTACGGTATGCATCATTGCCCTAAGATAGAGTACTGCCATTGAAATGACACCATGCAAAACACTAAAAGTGCAGAGAATTCCACCTCCCACGCATTCATACCTTGCCAACCTAGTTGAATAAAACTTTGTACATCGACATTATTTTATCTTTCCTAGTGTACACAAGCAAACCCAGGCAGCACGCTGCCGTTCGACTGACCTTGACCCAACGTTTGCAAATTACGGCAGCAATATTCACGTAAAGTTAATTTTTCATGTTCACACAACTTTCACCCACATTGGTTCATGTCGGCTAGCCAGAGTTAAATCGATGAGGACTCTGTGGCATTGGACCGATGAAGGCTTGCCGGCGTTGCTCTGAGGCAGGTCTGCGGTTTTTCAGCCGATGAGGACTATTGCGTCTATTGGCCCACGCTGCTATGGCAGGGGTGGTGCCAGTATTTTTTTTTTTTGGAAGTGCACCGACGACAGTTGTGTTGCTTCAGGTGGGGGGGGGGGGAAGAAGGCACAGAACTTATCATTGTATCTTAAATGTTGTCACACACGTCCTGCGAGAAAGCCGAAGGCGACAGTGCATACGCGCATCTGCACGCTTTTATGCAGAATGTAACAACGAGAAAGACGAGAAACACTCTGGCGCGTGGTAAATAAAAAGACCGACCCGCTGCTGCTTTCTCAACTTCTTCAAATACAACCTCTGTCTTCACGTCGCGACACTAGTGGAGGTGCTGGAGCCTGAAACCTGAAGTAAGAAAGCGTTGTTCGGGAGCGTACACCCAGTCCGGAGCCTCAACGTCTTGTTACGACTCCAGTCCACTGATTTAGCCGGCGCCTACCAGGCCTAAGTTCTGAACTCTTGACTGCATCTCCTCTTACCAACATGGTGGCCCCTTCTACGTCTGCGAATCTTCCTCCGGCCCAGACGACTCTTCCTTACCAGGCAACTCTTGAGCTTCCTCGGGTTACCGAAGTCGTCCGTAGAGAACCACATGAAGATGTCGAGGACTGGCTCAACCAGTTCGAGCGGACCGCTGTGGTGAACCACTGGAGCGCGCAAGAGAAACTTGGCCTTGCCTATACTTCGCAATGGAAAATAGCGCTCGCACATGGTACGAGAACAGGGAGCCTCTTTTCTAAACCTGGGACAATATTCGCCAAAAGCTTCTCGAGACGTTCCTCAGTGCGGACCAACGGGATCTCGCACCGCAGATGATTGAAGCCCGCGTGCAAAAGCCGAACGAAAGCGTCACCGTGTTCGCTGAGGATATGGCTCGTCTATCTTGCTGCGCTGACTCTGACATGCCCGACGCGAGGAACGTTTGTCACTTGATGCGGGGAGTTAAGTAACCGCTTTTCGCCGGCATTGTACAAAATCTGCCAACAACAGTGGATGAATTTATCAAAGAAGCAACTGTCATCGAGCGGGTGCTCCGGCAATGATGCCGCTATTTTGACCGCCTACCCCACCAAACGCCTGTTGGTTGCGTCGCTCAAAACGCTGCCGTTTCCGAAAGCTCTCTACGCCAAATGATTAGGCTAATCTTGCGGTGAGAGCTGCGGGCCCTCGGCCTTCCGTCTACCGACCCTCCAGTTGCTTCTGCTGCGGAAATCGTGTGCCACAAACTACGGCAAGCTTTTCTATCACCGGCGCCACCACCTGAACCACGACCATTGACCTATGCTGATGCCATCCGCCGTCATATTCCTGCCCCAGAAAAAGCACCCTTTCATACACACCCGTTACATTGCCTTGGTGGCAGCGGGAACCTATGCGGTGAGCCCCAGTACGCCGGACCGATTCGTGGTGAACTGCTGACCATCGACCTCTTTGTTTCCACTGCGGCGAACCAGGCCACATCTCGCGCTACTGCCGTCATTGAGAAGCGCGGTTTGGAAACTTCTCTCATCCCGCTGCATTTTCTTTTGAAGACCCTCATGACCCGAGCCCTGCGGCACTGCACACAATGTACCCTGAACGGTTTCCAAGCCCGGACTGCCCCCTGTGTGGTGGTTATGCGGACTTCGAGCATGTACTGTGGGGCTGCGCCTCTGCCGGTCCCCCTTTCACCCAAGAGGAAATGAAGCGACGCATTAAGGCCCAGGACCAGACCTCTCAAATCCTGGCCGTCCAGAGGGCCCGCGCGAGGGCCGTCAGGTTTAACCTGATGGTCCCCGAGTGGGCCTAGCCAGGTGACGCTGAGTTTACTCGCGTCTATTGTGGACCGAATAAAGTTGTTTCACTCACTCACTCAAGACCATCATGACTATGGTGCTGATCACCTGCCAACCAAGCAAGCGTCTTCACCAAGTCATCGTTGGCGGTCTCCCTCACCTGCACGAGGTCACACTTCCCCGAGTCGCCAAAGTTACGCTGATGCCATCAGAAACCGCTCCCCAAGTCCGTGCCAGGGAAACTCTGCCGCGATGTCCGGGGGCAAGGTTGCCGATCGCCGAAATGCCAAAAAGACCCCCTTGCCTCTACACAAAGACGACATGACGATGTTGATGACGAAGACGACGACAACCACGAGTACTAATGCCCATGAATTTGTACGTGCCAACCATACCCTTATCTTAGACGGACACTACGTAACAGAACTGGCTGACTCTGGTGCTGCCTTCTGTATTAGGCGACAAGAGCTCGCCGACCGCCTTAAAAAGGTCAAGACGCCGTGGAGTGGGCCGAGCATAGGGAGTGCTGATTGACAGCTAATGACGCCAACCGGTAAATGCACCACTCGGCTCGTAATCGGTAATACGAGCTTCGTCACCACTTTTGTCATTTTACCGGACTGTTGTAAAGAGCTGATTTTGGGTATGGATTTTCTCCGAGAGTACGGTGCGGTCATCAACATTCCAGAACGTATCGTCACCTTTTCCGCCCATCCTTACGTCGACGCTACCACTGAAGAACAACTGTAATGTTTCCGTATAGCCGATGATGTGATGCTCCTGCCGAGATCTTGCTGCCTTAAGTCGGTGTTATGTGAACGTACGTGCCGTACGAGGTGACAGCGGAGGGAATAGACACGCTCTTGCTCACCCAAGGTGTTTCAATAGCGAGAGGCGTTCTGGCACTAACTGGTGGGCGTGCAAAAGTGCTCCTCACCAACTTCAGCAACAAGTGCCGTCACATCCAGAACGGCACCGCAATTGCCTACTACGAAGACGTGGACCAAGCCACAGATTGCTTCGGTTTGTAGCCGGACGACGCGACCGTCCCAGCCTCGACACCTTTGTCTGTCAACCTCTGCCCTTCACTGTCACCCTCGGACAAACAGTGCCTACTAGACGGGATACACCAGTTCGAAAATTGTTTTAGCTCCTTATAGCCGCACCCGTTCGTCCCTCGTAGCCGTAGCAGTAGTGTGTAATAAGTATTACGTTTTGACCCCTAAGGTGGTGCTGGTGAGATATTTGTTCTGTGCGTTGTTGAACAATAAAAGATAGTGCTCAATGTACATGCCAATGGCTGCTAAGGGAGAATGAGAGACCGGAGAATTCGGCTTTTTGTTAACGCGCACGCTGAAAAATTTTTATTGTTCAACAACGTACAGAAGAAAAGAGAGGGTTGCTACGGTATACTCGCTGGACGTAACCTCCTAGGTTTTGGAAAGGTTTAGCGAGCGCTGGGCCGCAGTGCCATGAATACAGTGAACTATTATATACCATGAACTCGAGGTGGTTAAAAGTGGGAAGTAGACACGAAGCGCAAGCCGTAAGAAAGTGTGCGTGTGCCTCCTCTCGTTCAGTCTTTCGAATGCCCGCCGGATGGTGATGCTTCTATATGAGAAACATATGATGAAAAGATGCGAGATGGTGGTACTTGGAGTGTTGAATAGGTGTACGAACGGACACACAGACAGATGCATGGACGGACCCATGGATGGCTGCACGGGCAGATGGACGCATGGACGGACGCAGGAGCGGATGCATGAACGAAAGCAGGGACGGACGCACAGATGAACGTGCGGAGGCACGAACAGACGCACGCACGGACGGGCGAATGAGGGCACGGGCGGCCACACAGACGCACGCATGGATGGAAGGAAGCAAGAACGAATGGACGGACGGATGCTTCG